TCCAAATTTCATATGGAGAAATTTTATTCTTTTTCATAGGAATCCTATTTGTTATATGGCAAGCACTAAGTAAGACTTCACCCCATAGGTTAAAGGGTAATTCAGAATTTAACAACATTGCATTTATCATTTCTAAAAGAGTTCTATTCTTTCTTTCTGTTAATCCATTTTGTTCCGATATTCTAGGTGCACAAACTTGATGTATTATTCCATTTTGTTCACAAAATATGTTAAATTCATTAGAAAAATATTCCCCACCTCTATCACTTCTTAAAGTCTTTAATTTTCTTCCTAATTGATTTTCAACTTTAATTTTATAAGTCTTAAAGGCACTAAGGCTTCATCCTTATGTTTTAATAAGTACACATAAGCATATCTTGAACAATCATCAATAAAAGTAATAAAATATCTATTACCGCCTCTAGTTTACATTTCATTCAATTCACATGTGTCGGAATGAACAAGTTCAAGTAATCTTGTTGTTCTTACTACGCTATGAAATGACTTCTTAATCATTTTTTATTTAACAAATGTTTCACATTTTTTCAAGTTGTCAATATCACATTGTATTAATCCACATTTAATCATTCTTTTCATAGTATTAACTCCTATATATGCTAATCTACCATGTCATAAATTAAATGAATCAGTAACATACACAAAAAATTTAACTTTATTTGAGTTATTCTCAATAGTACATAGTTTGACCATTCCTTCAGTGGAATAGTCATTTCCAACAAAGTGCCCATTATGGCTTAATACAAGCTTTCTAGATTCAAAAATAGATTTAATTCCAGGTTTTCCCAAGAGTACATCACTTGCTAAGTTTCTATTCATTTTCGGTATATTCTAGACACTTGTCAAAGCGGTCTTCTTTCCCGAAGAGAAAATGAGTTCCATATTTCCTTTGCCAATCACTTTTGATCTTCCTTCATTTTCCATTTGTATCTCTTGATTGTCTTCAATATCATGATAAGTTTTGAAAAAAGACTTATCATAACATACATGGATTGTAGCGTATGTATCGTACCACCAGTCCGGAACTTTACCTTGGATTGCATTGATTTCGCTCACCATGGCAATAATCTCATCAACGGAGTTCACTTGTCCTTCCTTCTTTTGTTGTTTCCTATGTCTATAATCCTTGGTATAGTGTCCCGATTTTCCACAAATATAGCAAGGTCCTTTGGCTTTGTTTTTGAACTTTCCTTAATCCTTTCTAGGACTAAGAAATTTTCCTTTTCTTTTAAATTTGTTGGAGTTGTCTACATTGTCCACGACATTGGCCTTTGAAGAACCATCATAAGAATTTTCAATCTTATCTCTTGCCCTTGATTCTTCCTCAATACGAAGATGTTTTTGTATATCTCCCAAAGAAAAATCTTCGGAATTATGAAGAATCTTCTTCCTATATCCTTTCCAAGAACCAGGAAGTTTAGCAATAATTGATCCCACTAGGAAAGTTTCGGAAAGTTCGATTTTCACCTCTTTCAGTTTGTTTACAATTATTTGTAACTCATGTACTTGAGACAATAATGGTATATTATCCAAAAATTTGAAATCAAAATACTTAGATATTAAGAACTTTTTGGGACCTTCCTTCTCGGCTTTGTATTTGCTTTCTAGCGTGTGCCAGATTTCTTTGCCAATGTAGTGTTGGTGTAGAGATCGTAGAGGCGATCGGATAATGCATTTAGGATATGGCCACGACATATTAATTCGTCATCTTCCCGTTTCTTCCTTTCTACGCGAATTTCTTCGGTATCCTTGTCAGTTGCATCAGGAATGGGCTCCAATTTTAGATCAAACACATAGAAGATCTTCAAGGCCATTAATAAAAATTTAAGTTTGTCTTGCCATCTTGTGAAAATTGCACCATCGAATCTGTCCAAGCGTACCAGGTCTTGATTCATCATTTTGATAATAGCAAGGGTAGATTCCGTCTTCATTGCAATAATAGTAACCAAATAACATTTGAAATTGTTGAAAAATAATGGCAATGGAGAAGAAAATTATAAAAGTATATCAATGAAGGTTTGAATACGAAATTAATCTCGCTGTCCTCAAATGTTATTTGCCTCATTTCCAATGCTTTTTAAGAATTTTCGGCAAATAGTTTGTAGGATTGAACAAGCCTTGACAAAAAGAATACCAAAAAGCAAAGGTGTTTTTTTACAATGAACAAGTGAAATGGAAGGGTTATGTGATGAGTTTTCTCAATAATTGGAAGTATATTTGGAGATAAATTTTAGTGGAACTCAATATGTTTTTCTTACACTTGGATTACCTATTTATAGGCCTTGGCAAGTTTTTCACGAAATGGTGCAAAATAAGGATGAAAAGCCACCAATTTCAAATAAAAAAGATCAAAAAACTAACTTAACGATTAGTTTTGATAACCATACGACCGCACGGGCTATAGTAGCATCGCCAGCCCTCCCATTCTAGGGAGGGCCTCATGCAACCTCATGGGCTTAATCTATGCGGTCTCATGGTTAAGCCCCCTTTTTTTCTTTGATTTTGAACAATAAATTCCCAACAATCATGGCTTCTTTGCATAAGGAAAATGAAGCCCATTCTCGATTCAATGAGCAACAAAGATATTGCATTAGTTCAAAAGGATGATGAAGGCCTTGCCAGAGCATCAACGAAGCAATAGTGGCATTAGTTTCAACACTACCATCAAACGACCAAGATGACATTCTTGCCGACTGGATGGACATTGAGCAGCTAAGATATCCCAACCTAAATGAGGCTTTCGAGAACGAGTCTGCTAAGAGAAGATTAGAGGAGAGTTTGGACAGACTCAATAATGTTGCCACCAGCCTCTAGTAAATGGCTCCTAGTTTTTATTGTGTGTTGATTTTTTATGCACTATTTCAAACTTCCATTTTTGCTGCCGTAAGATTTTGACATCAACATAATTTAGATTCTACTTCATTTTCTAGAAATTTTCGAACTTCCCATTACCCTTTTTTTTTGCTCCGATCCAAAGATTGCATAAGAAAATTTAACTTTTGTAATAATTCCTACATCAATGTTGGAGATCCTTGCCAATGAGCTCAATCAATTGTGTAAAATAATAGTGCAAGCATACAACAAACAAAGCAAAGAAACGAGATTAGAAACACACGAGTTCAAATTTAGGCCATGTTTTAGTCCTTTTTTTTTTTTTTGTAAAAAATGAGTTTTGTAATAGTGATTTTTTGTCGAGCTCCGATACCAAATCGTTGAATTTGAGCTTAAAAATTAAAATATAACTTTATTGATGAAATGCACTTTACACAATTTTGGAAACATTTACCAAGGCCACTAGTAATATTATATACTCGATTTTAATCCTCGCACCATATTACATACACGACTGTGTGCTTCCTTTCTTATCACCCTTTCTGTTTTCGTTCTTAATTTTCTCTACACACACACAACAATACATACACCAAGTTGTATTTATATGTGTTAATGTTGGTGGTTGCAAAGTCTAGATAATTCTACCATGTCAATAAAATTAGCTTGCCAACTCTAAATTCTTCTAATCTTTGCGGTGGAGTTCATTCTCTAGAATCATCTATTGATGGTGATGTGTAGTATAACTAGAAAATTCTGATGACTTCCTTAAGAGTTGGTGCCTTACCTTCAATTCTCTCCTTCAACATTGACCTTTTTTCATAACTTTTTATCTTTTTAGTCACATCCAGCTCTACCTCAAACTTGACAAGTTTTGAAGCGTTCGATCTTTTATTTAATGCATATGCTACTATATATACATTGGCTTTTCCATACTTTCTTCTTCATCAAGTTTTGACTTCTTTATTTGTGGCTGTAAGCTTGTACATACCTCGACATCTTATTGATTCTTTCTATCCTCTGCTAGTGTTTCCTAGTTCGCACCATTTTGTCAATGATTCTGTGTCGCTCTTACAAGCTTTTCTTTATCACTTGACATTTTTAGATCTTTAGATTTCGCTATTACCTTTAGATGCTCTTGTTCATTAATTATCTCCATCAGATCTTGAATTTTCTCGAGCTTCTATTTTAATTCGCTAATTTGTTCTGGCACATTCTCCTCTAACTTTTTATCAATTTTCTTTGAATCTAACAGTTCCATCCTCCGATGTCTACCAAGAATATATGTTTTCAAACACTTCTTCTGAGCCTAGTAGTTCTTCACTCTGCGGAGTCCACCCAGAAGACTCTTCATGAAACACGATATCCTCTTTTGAGTCATCAATCCAATCATCTTCACAATCCAATTGTTCAAGCAGGACTATTACCAATGTTGATTCATCCTTTAGACTTGAATTGTATTTCTTGTCTCGAGTTTGTTCGATTATTGTCGTTGATGCCTTAACATCTCATTCTTCTTCATTATTGTACTTCTCTTTCCTGTTGAAGGTTAATACATTAAAACTAGCAATCTCTAGATTGGACCTCGTTTTCCATACACCAAACATGAACCATTAGTTCGTTGATATCCCTTATATAGTTGACCTTTCTTGTCATGGTTTTGTTGAGCTCCCTTTGTCTGATAGCTTCCTTTACATTTATTTTCTTTTAATTCTCTATTATTTTGTTGACATGATTGACCTCTTCTTTTGTAATGCTTCTTCTTGTTCTTTCTTTATTGAGACCTTCAACATTTGTCCAGATAACGCTTTTTGATCAGCTAACAAATTTTCGAGATTGATCAATGAAGGTTGCTCTGGCCAACTTTGTATTGCGGTAACGAAACCTCTAAATTCAGGCCTTAATCCATGTATAATTATTCTTCTCATTCTAGCTTTCGAAATCTTACTCGATGAACCTAATTTTGAAATTTCACGACAAAGGAATTTAACTTTGTTGAAATTGATCAAGAGCAATTCATTTTCTAGCAATTGCAAGCACAATTCATTTTTCTTCGAGAATAGTACGGCCAAAGTGTCCCATGCTTCTTTTGATGTAGTCCTGTCTCTTATGTGCTCCAGTAACTCTTCCTCAATTGTCTCTTTATAACGAACATGGCCTTGCCTACTTTAATTCTCTACTTTATCATAGCTCTAGACTCCTCTAGTGGCATCACGTCACTTCCACCAACTATAAGTCTTGACTTTGGAGATACGACTCTATGCAAGTTTGCCATGTGGTGTAGTTTTGATTATTGAGTTTCTTTACTCCCTCCTACCGCTTGTAGTTACTTATTGTGACTTGATTTACCTTTTCGTAGTCAAGCAAGTATTACAAAGTTTCACAATCTTCTTTTGTGTATGAACTCAAGAAAAAATTTGAACTTACAAATTAAAATATAACTTTATTGATGAAATGCACTTTACACAATTTTGGACACACTTACCAAGGCCACTAGCAATATTATACACTCATATTTTATCCTCACTCCGCAATACACACACAGTTGTGTGCTTCCTCTCTTATCACTCTCTCTATTTATTTCTTAATTCTTTCTACACACAACAACAATACATACAGCCAAGTTTTATTTATATGTATTAATGTCAGTGGTTGTGAAGTCTATGTAATGCTACCATGTCAATTCTAATCTTGTCGATGGAGTTCATTCTCTAGAATCATCTATTAATGGTGGTTTGAAGTAGTATAACCAGGAAATTCTGGTGACTTCTTTAAGAGTCGGTGCTGCACTTTCAATTTTTTGAAAAATGTGTGGTTAAAACGTAGGAAAAAATATTTTGGATTTCGTACAAAATTAATTGATTGAAAGAATGTGTGATTGAAAACGAGTTTGATAAAAAAAAAATTAGATAATGGAGGAATAGAGGCCTATTATTCCCTTGAATTTTTTGCACCAGTAGATATTGTCTCATAACTCCACGATCATATAATTGGTGTAGGGCTCATGGGATATTAAGACCTGTTTTGATTTCCATTTTTCCCAAAATATAATTTTTTTCTTTTCTTTTCAACTATACATTTTTTAATAAAATAATATTATACGTAAATCTAAAACTTTTCTTTATTTTTTAATTACACATTCTCGACTAATCTACTATTCCAAAATGCATTTTTCCAATTTAATGGAGCTCATACAATTCCTAAGTCTTTGTTTGATCCCCATTATTTTCAAAAATACATTTTTCTTTTCAACTACATATTTTTCAATAGAATAATATTACATACGAACTCAAAACTTATCATTATTTATACATTCTCCATCAATTTACTATTTCAAAATGCATTTTTAAGGAAAAATGGGGCTCAAACAAGGTCCTAGAGTTAAATGGCAATACAAGGCCAGAGCGTTAAAGGGAAAAATAAAAATAGGTGAGGAAAAAAAAAAAAAAAAAAACCTTGAGGCTATAAATGCAAAAGCTACCAAAAGTTGGTGACGAGCCTGCAGATTGAGCAACGAAAAATCGTACACTTCTCACAGTAGAATGGCATAAGCACGGAAATAATTTCCAATTGCTTGCATGAAAATCAAATTTCAAATACTTTGATTAACGTAAATCTAATTTCATTTTATCCACTCATTAATAAGAGGAAATTTTCGAGAAAAAATTGGAATAAAACCTAATTGGAAAAAAATATATTTGAAAATGGCAAATTAGTACGTATGTGCAGCGCCGACTAGTGATGGCAAAAAAACCCGTCCCTTCTCGCTCCGACAGGCCCCACCCCGAATGGGGCAAAAAAACCCACCTCGAATGGATCGGAAATGCAATACGAAATGGTTTACATACCCAGGCATATGGGCGATCTATATTCTAATATTGTTCTTCTTATGGCCGGTAGTACTCTCTGTTTTCGGTTGCCCTCTCGGCATTCCAACTCTCCCATTCAGTTGTACGTTTTTTTCAAATTTTTGTTCATTGACTATCATTGGTACTTATATTTGTTTGTGTGTAGCAATGCCATAAATTTGTCATCGATGATGTGGAGATGTATTTTTGTTGATGTTTACAAATATTGTTTACGTTTTGTATCAAGAAGGTTGAATCCGGTGAGCACGTGGATAAAAGTACCAGTTGAATATGAAAATTCTTAGAGAATGCTGTATGAGCTGAGAAATAAGTAGGAAAATTAATTATTATTACTAATTGTTTTGTATGTAGCCTTTTTTCCATGTTGAATATGTATGCATTTTCTATCATCTAGTCATATCACTTGTTATTGGTTTTGAATTTTGAATTCAAATGATTTTGTCTATATAATTTATACGCGTATTCACTTGAATCTAGCAAAAAGAAAAGAGAGAAGGCATAGAGAGTGAACCAAGTAGGAGAGGATAATTTCTCTGGTGAAAATTCCTAGCGGCTTCCGGACGATTCTTTTCTCAGTGTATTTAGTGCCATTATCATACCCATGGACGATGGTATATAATCTAGTGTGGACAAATCTGAGCTCAACATTACAATACACGTTGGTGGTGAGGTTGAAGAAGATTCGAGTCGGTGGTTTGGATTTTTGTGCACTTTGAAAGCTTGTTTTCTGCATTGTAGTTGTAATAAATCTTTGTACACTACATTATAAACTCTATCCAATCCCAACAGTGAATGCTAATGACATTTCTTTGGGAACTGGCTTAGCGGGCCGGGGATGGCTTTCGTCGGAGTTCTCAGTATCTGCAATAGCTAGGACCTGATGCTGATGGTTTGGGACTGGGATTTGGAACAATCACTGTCGTTGAGGATATCTTGTCCTCTACACCTGAGTTGGGGTCCCAGCAATTGGGTAAGGTCAAAATTGCCTTACATATAGCCCAAGTGGGAGATTGTAAGAATTTTTAATTAAAGATGGGCTTGTATGTGTAAATAATTGTGTGTTAAATTATAGACTATCGAATTCGGTCGATCCCGATTAAAGTGATCTAATAAGATTTCGATTTTGGGTTTTAATGTATCCAATTAAAGTATGGGTTTACATATGTATAGAAACCGGGCCCAAATCCTAATTCTATGATGGGCCGAATTAGGTGAAAGGGCATCCTCATATAAATAGGTTATGGTCCCCAGATCACACGCAACGAAACCAATTATTCATTCTCTACTGCATCCCATCACAGAGAGGAAAAGGAGACTGCGTGTAGATTTGGAAGATCATACCGCGAAATCCATATTGCATTAACCATGTCAGATTCAGGTATGCTTCCGCTTTAATTCTTATATTTCTCGATGATTTAACATGAAAGATCCAGTAATTTAAAGCATTAAATTATCTAACAGAAGTTCCTATAAAAGCTTGGGAGAAGTCTTCATTAGAGCACGTGGATGAACCTTCACGTCTTGGAAACTACAGGGGTGCAACTATCTTAGTTTTTAACATTTAAAAATAAAAAAGAAAAGCTCGTTTTTATATAGGGTTGTCATGAATTATGATTTCTTGAGAAGTGCCCATTAATGCACGCACATTACTTTTGTTTTTTTTCCCCCCTCAATGAATGAGACTAACATAAGGTATATGCTTGGTATACGGTATTTTGTTCTTTTTCCTTTGATGGATAAATTCCAAATTCAGAGTAGAGAGAATGGTGGATGACAAATTTAGTACTGATTAGTTGTAAAGAAATCACTGCATATGGAGAGTTGTAGCATTGTCGTGTAATATTTACTATTTAGTGGTCGTTAAGTTGCAAAACCACTTTCTACATCTACCATAGAGGTATGAATTAACATGCTTTATGCTCACCAAGCACATTGTCAAATCTTGACCTAGTTCAACATGGTCAAGTCTGTGCCCCCCATTCATTTTATTTAACAATTAAAGTTTCAAAATTAAGATGTTTGTGCAGGGAAAATGTACACCCTGCTTTACAGATTAATAGGTGGCGGCTTTTTAATGACTGGATTTAGCAAAATTTTTGCAGCCCTTGCCCTAGATTGTGCACACCATGTTAAAGTGCATACTCGATACATTGTACACACACACACGAAGGAAAGAATAATTGAAGAAAAAGACTGAAACCACTAAATTCAACACCAAAATAGGCCTCCATGAGATTTTATGATCTTGGATATACAGTTGTGGTATATTACACTAAATAATATAATAAATGAGATTTTATTTTTTTTTTTCATTTTTAAACATAAATAATCCTATAATGAAACATGGAATGCATATAGAGTGCTTGTGAAATTGAAAGGGAAAAGGTAACATGGCATGGAGAAAGTAATCATCACCTTATTGGGAAAAAAAGCTAGAGGTTCATGTTAAAAGTAACAAATGTGGTTGAATTGGTCTTCAACTGTTTAGACTTAGAACTTTGTCATGTAAAATTATTTCTTCTCAAGCAGTTGGAAGTGGAACATTTTCGTATGAAATTGATATATGTAATTATAATATTTTTTATCGATCGATTCTTGATCAACTAATAAGCATACAGTATAAGTAGGGATAGCAATGGGACCGAGCCAAGCTAGCTCGACCCTTTAACCCATGAGCACGACTCGGGCTAGTGGCGAGCCAAGCTTGTGGCTCGTGAAAGAATAGCCAAGCTCGAGCTCGGCTCATTGCTCGAGCTCGGCCCATGAGCTCGTAAGCTCACGAGCCATGAGCTCACGGGCCGAGCCGAGCCCGTGAGCTAGTGATTTTTTTAATTTTTTTGGTAAATTTACGCATTTTAGACCTTTTGTCAAAATAGCTCGTGGGCTGTGTGCCCACCCACGAGCCGCTCGTGGGCTCGGCTCATGTGATTGAGCCCTTGCTTGATTCGGGCTTGTCATTTGACGAGCCCAAGCCGCCCACGAGCTGGATTTGACAAGCCGTTCGACCCATTTGACATCCCTAAGTATAAGTAACCTCAAGACAATTTAACAAGTTATGTAATTTGTACTAGCTCATCTCCCTCCAATAATCCGGGCCTAAATAAAGCAAAATGTGTTGAAATTAAGAAACCCTTGTACCTATAGGTTAGTTTTTTATTATATTCAAACAAGTCACTGCACTCCACAATGAAACACTAAGATAAAATCATAAAAAGAATTAAAATGAAAATAAAATACAATTACTGGATTATTTTGTACCATCTTTACCATGATCCTCCTGGAACTCCACCTATTACTCCATTCCAATATTCTGTTGAATCTCCATTTTGATCTCTATTTTGCTCAACATCATCAGTAGTCTTACTCTTCAAATTTTCAAATGGAAAAAGAAGTTTCCCACTTGTTTCTTCCCCACCCTGGAAACTTCCATAATTACTTCCAAGTGCATCCATAGAGAAATTCAAAGAAGGTCTGCATTCAGGGAAAGGAAACCCTGATGGGTAAACTGTGGTTGGATCAGTAATTGACGTAGGCAAGAAGGAATTCAAGCCTCTCGATGAAATTTCTGTCAAGAGCTCCAAAGCCGAAAGGTTCGACGAAGTCGAGGAAGATGAAGAAGGGATATTATTATCTCTATCGACAATGTTTGCACAAGTTTCGAAACCATGAGGAGGGATTGAAAATCCCAAGTTGAGATCTCCTTGGGGTTCCTCGGTTTTATGGTTTTGTGACTGCGAGATTGTCAAATCAGAAAATCTAGCAGGATCTCCATCAGAAATCTTTTTCGATGATGATCTTTTGTTCTTTCTTGGACTTCCTCCAACTGGAATGTTTCTGAGAGATCCACCTTCAGTCCAGTATCTTCTGCATGTCTTGCAAAAATACCTTGGTTGAGAGAGGCTGTAATTATTGTAATAACAGAATTTCGTGTTCGTTGATTTGCATCTTGGACAATTCAAGGCTTGATCTTTCTGTGGCCTCTTCCTTTCTAATGAAGGTTTAGAGCATGTATTTGTCACTATCTCTTCCATTGGTTTCACCAGTATATCCTAAAAGTTCAAGAAAAACTAACAAATAAAAAGCCTCAAATTTGATGTGCAATATTACATATATAAGAATAGACTTTGTTGTCTAGAAGTGTTGAATCTACCTTACTGGACTGTATATGTATAATTATTCAAGCTTCAAGATCAAAATAACAGAAAATAAGGACCAAGAACTGAAGAAGATACAGACATGAAAGAAACAAACAAACAAATAAAGTCGGTTGCTTCACACTTTTTAAGTATCATCAACAGTAAATTAAACAGCAAATTATGACAGATTTGATCTTTTTTCACTCCTTTATAACATATGCAAAAGAGAAAGTAAAGTACAACATAGTTTGAAAAGAAGCAAAAACAATATAACTTTAAAAAAATAAAAATGGATTACATTAATCTTTTAAAAAAGGTGGTTGATCCATACCTGAGGCCATTGAGCAGTATCCATGCTGATGAAAGAGATGAAGAAGGTACTTTCACAAGTTCAAAATGGGTAATTGCTTTCTTTGATCAAGTGGCTTATATATATAAAAGAAAGACAATGAATGGTTGACCTGGTACATGGCTGTTCTATTTATGTAATTATGTTCTATATAGGTACATTGTATAAAGTTTCTTGTACATTCCATGAATGACAACTTGAATGACATTGTGTACAAATTCAAAAATACTTTGTCGGGAAAGTGTGTTGAATTAAAAAATTATCCATTTATATATCGACACGTGACACAATATCAACAATGATGTCAAACAAAATGTACAAGTAGCATGATTGGTTACATAGGGTGTAAATCTGGTGTTATTTTGAGGTGGCTTGTGCTGCATCACACTAGACTCGGTATGGCCTTTCATCATATTTTGACGTCCCTACAATAAGTTCTTGAGGTCGCGAGAGATCTAGAAAGAAATTAGTACGTCCAAATTCCTTTTAACTGATCTAATTTCTTCCCATAGGAAAAAGATCAGAATCCATAAGTTGTTGAACTATGTGAACAAATTTTTTAGAATTGAATTTATGAGTATCCGATTCCCACTCATG